CTGAACTGAATACTACTGACTCAGTCATCAATGAGTCGAATCATGAATCAATCAACGTCGGCCTGGATTCAGCAAGTCTTTAGAGGCACTGGGTCGCTCTTGCTGTTTCTCGTTGCACAAGAAACTTCATGGTCTTTTGCTTCTACCCAAGCTTTTAGTTCAACCATGATGACATGATTATGACTACTGTGTTCTCCATGGTTCAGCTATGGACAGAGAAGACGGCAGACTGAAGACCTGTGTCTGAGGAATGTACACGCTGACGTCTTGGCTGATGCGAGCCAAGCGAGCACCGTGGAAGACTTCAGCCGTGGGCCAATCATGGCGAGAGAGTGGCCAAAGGTACCTTCGAATCGCAGCTTGGTCGCAGTGCCCAGCCAGTCCCTGCTTTTGTCACGACAACGCACAATCCAGGCCAACGAGGACGATGCCCTCATGCAGCTCTTCGGCCCTGGCATTTTGAAAGAGTTCCTTGTCCTTGTCCTACTCTGATCGCGAGACTGACCCTGCCAAATTTCACCCAGGAAGGTGTCTCCTGTTGTGCTGCTGAGGAACGGATTCTCGGGCGATCTCGGAAGCCGGGAATCTTTCGAGAAGGTTTGCGAAATTGTTGGCAACGCCACGAAGCCCCTCGGCCAAGGCTAATCTGTCGTCAGTGTGAAAAGATACTCGGCGCATCTTTTCGGACACAGACCTCAGGTCCGTGGCTTCCCTCTTCGAACGAGGGAGGTGGATCAGTTGGGGGCACGCCGCCCACAAGTTCAAGAAGAACTACTCCTGCACTTTGTTGATGGTGTACTGGGGATGTATGGAAGAACCTTGTCTGAACTTGTTTTGTTCTGTCTATGCTGGGAAGTACGTCTGCTGCATCTGCATCCTAAGGAAGGAGTGAATCCGTTCGCTCTGGACCAAGGGAAAGCAAAAGGCGACGGCGAGACTGAGAAATACGACAGGGTCCTCGACCTTTGTATACGTGCCACTCAGCAAGCAGAAAGTTTGACTCCGACTAGCAGCTTGCAAGACCCTGTTATCACTGCAGGGACAAAAAACACATGCCACACAAAGGCACTGGTGGATGACTTTTCGCACGACCTTTTCCTCGTCATGGATTTTCACAGTGAGGTCTTTCGCGAGATCTGCCTCAATCTCGCCTCTTGGCCTTTCTTAGAGACGTCCGAGTGTCTTTTTGTGGCTTTGCTTGGAGATACAGCATGGAAGAGTTTTGCATATGCTTGCCGACCAACTAAGCAAGCCAACAAATCGCTGCTCAACTCGCTCCACACGCACACCTGCTGGTGCCTTCGCGAGCTGGAGCTGCGGCTGTCGAGACACGTCAACGCGGCACTGGGGGCGGACTGCCTGTCACTCCTCGACTTGACGCCGGACGTGCAGCTGGAGACAGATGGCTTGTTGGTCGCGACTCGCCTGCATCCGTAGTGTCTAAAAGCCTAGCAGCCGTCTCCCACGAAGACAACAGGAAGGCAATCGCGATTTTGGGTGCAGCGACCTGACATCTAGAATCTAGTAGATCGAAACGGATAAGTCTTTCGATTACTGATGCATGATTACCGACGGAAAGCCTTCGTGTCAGAAACGGACCTCCGGGGGCGGTGCTCACAGACGCCCGGTCTGGGAAGTCTCTTCTGTCTGTCTCTAGACGAATAACTACAGAGAGGAGGCTCGTCCCTCCCATCCGCAGCAGCTAAAATCAGCACCGCCTCTGTCATAGTATCGTAGCTCCACGGCCCGAGCCAGTAATCTATGAATTTGTGTAAGTCTCGAGCAGTGACTGCGAAGAAGCTAATATCTCTCTCTCAGAAGGAAAGCTTGGAGACTGCTTCTCTAAGCTGAAGCCGCGAGACCCAACTAAGAAAAAGGGTGCTTGCTGGGCATTGCTTCCTTCAATCGAATAGCAAGCCTGCACCGATCCATGGCACGGAGTAGCTCTCAACAGCACAGACCTCCATGCTGGCCGAGACAAAGGCCGAGACAAAGAGACTAATCTCTTACTCTTGAATAATTTAAGACTGAGACAGAGAGACAGAGCCAGAGACAAGCTTACTAGGAGAAGTGGGAGCCTGAGACAGGTTTGTTGAGAAAGGAGACAGACTCAGAACTATGTGGTTTCAGTGACCGTTCCTAGCCAGGTGACCGATCTCTGACTGTACTTCGTAGCCAAGACTATGTGCAGTCCAGCACATTTTTAAGCTGCTGCTTGAGCGGCTAGTCCGCTGGAGACTCTTCTGTCTATGAGACTAAGTCACTGAAAGAAGTCGAGACTCCGGACTTTCCGCAATGGTCTCATCGACTCAAGCCGATCTATAGCTAAAGACAAGACTAGTCTCAGTGAGTCGAATCTGAGTCTGAGCATCTCCGGAGACATCATAAGACTTGCTTCTGAGACTGGCTCCTTCAGGAGCAGACTTCTCTCGAAGTCAATGATTGCCTTTGTGTGCCAGGTTGTTGTTCTTTCTGAGCTTGCATCCACATAAGTGAGGTGACATTTCGCCGAAACGTGACCAAGCAAGTGCTGCTCCTGGAACACCTGGAGACGACGCTGAGCCTTCTCTCCGAAATGGAGGGCTACCGGAGGCACATGCTTCGAGCGCCGCATTGCACGGCAGCTTTGCTGGCCCCGGGGTCAGAACCGGTTCAGAAGGATCTCCTGACAGCTTTGAAGCTGGAGTGGGACATGGTCGTCCGCATGGAGTCCCAGACTTCTACAGCAAGTCTGCTTCATGGCCTGTGCCCATATACCCGCTTCCAGAACTACAGAGAGGTGATGACAAGCTTGGACCTTGCCGGGTTCAAGCTCGACAAATCCTCTCGGGATATGATTTTGGCATGGCATCCTTCTCTCTCCCAATCCTCGAACATAGAGGATATCTTCAACAGTTGCGAGGATGCCTGCCGCAGGACCAAATCCGGGGCGGCAACCATGCCGAATCTTTCTACCGTGGCGATGCGAGCTCTGATGAAGAAAACTTGCAACTCCGAAGGTCAGGCCCGTACGGTCCAGCTCCACTCCAGCGACTTCGAAGGTCCGGAAGTGCAGGGGCTGAAACCCAAGCTCTTCACGCCAGAGCTTCTCTGGTGGACTCACGGAAGGCACTATCACAACTGATGTCTTCTTCTAGGTCTGTCTCTGGTGCTTGGGAGGGAATCAGAAATGAATTCATAAACCAGTCTCCATGAGTGGATAATTTGTGTAGATGTATAACAGAGTCTTTGCTACCTAGGGTGTGGACTCTAGGCTCTGCTTTGGCTAATGAAGCATTGTCTCATCTCCGGCCTCCTCAGGCTTTTCTTTTGCATATGACTCAAATCATTGGACAGGCGGGCAGGGGCACAACAAGAGAATCATACCAGAAGTGTTTCTGTGCTCTCCTGAACCATCACATGCCCGATTTGCATGCACTGAGGAAAGGAAATGGGCCTGGATGACATCTTGCAGGACAACACGGGCAAGACTGCCTTCAACCACAACAGACTCTGCCTCAACAACATGGCCGGCCTGGTGCTGGCCGAGAAGCTCCTGGTCCGAATGTATAAACCACAGAGAGACTGGCTTTTTTGCTTGCTTTTGAAGCAGAAGCTAATTTGCATGGTGAAACTAAGGAGAGGCATGGACGTGGAAGCCGCTGCGAGATCCTTTTGGGTTCCGCCACTT